GACTTAGACCGTAAAAAGCATGTCTGCATAGGTTTGAGCTTTCCAACACAGTCACCTGCGACTGTGGGAAATTGGGAAGCTCAGACCACTATTACTCAAAACGTTGCTTGATAGAGAAGTTCCATCTAAAAAAGCCAGCACCCATGGTGGATAAATACTCAAATCAACAAAGGTCCTTATCGAAACTACTGCTATCACTACCAATTGCGCTGCAAAAACGTAGTAATGTGGAACAGCTTTTATTACAGTCAGTTTCTAAGTAGCTAAATTTCGGTTTCAGCTCCTGTAATATAAGTATTTATTTTTTTATATAGTTATCTAACTCTTATGATATTAAAATCTTTGATCCATCAAATCAACTTCCTGACATATGCATATATTTCTATTCATCCGGTGTAACAGAGGTTCGAATCCCGCGAATGGGCTGGCTGCATGGGTGTTTTCGTGGTTTTCCCCATGTGTAACGTGTATACGAGCCAGTTTCCATTAGAAAGTCCTCCACGAAGGCATCCCTCCCCTTAGGCAGATAGCCCTCGAGGCTTTGCCATAATCACACACACACACACACACACCTTAGACAGATAGCCCTCGAGGCTTTGCCATAATCACACACATCTGGTGTAATACATTGTTACATATAGTTATCTAATTATTGTAATATAAGTGTTTATTCTATTATTGTAAATATGTCAACTTAACGCATGAAATAGCAAACACAGTGTTGCATAATGTCATCTGTAATGTAAAAATCTTTTTCTCGCATTGATTTTAATCATTAAAGTGAAGCACATTTGGCTTATTTATACACCAAATATAGTATACATTTAGAGCACTATCGTATACATATATTTCTACTTATAACTATATATAATTCTCCTTAGATATAAGTATTCAGTTATATAATATGAATGTTCATATGCAATACTGGGCTATTCATAATATCTTGAAACAAAAAGTATGTATTGAACGACAGGTCTTGTATGCCAATGTAACAGATTTCCGCAGAAATGAAGTTCAATTCCTTACGACACGACCTAGGACGGGCATCTTCGCGGTGTGCAGTATCTTGTCTAAGGAAAACATGCAGATTAGTAAATAAACCATTATGAATGAACACGTTGCTCGAAGAGTACCGAGAAGTTGGAGCTGGTCGAAGAAGTCGCATCTGTTGACAAAGATCGTCAACAAAATATTTTGCAGGAACCACATTCGAGGAGGAACTGCGGAGAAATTCTGGAAGTTTTAAGCAAGTTCCGTAGAATTTTACAGCTAGTGATGATTCAGTACCTTCTTTAATGCGTGACCTCATTCCAAACAAAACTGATGGTAACACTTCACTCCATCTAACTGTTGAATGACATTTAATAGATGCTTTTAGGTGTCAATGCATACGCTCTACCATGCCGTTACAAACTGGATGGAAGGCAGCAGTTTTTATTTTGTGAATTCCTAGGAATTTTGTGGAGTGATCTGAACAATTCACTTTCAAAGTTTATATCACGATCAGTCATTATGATACCAGGTAGTCCAAATCTAGCTATCCATCCAGAGTAAAATGTCTCAACCCCAGCAATTTGGTTAGTCATTAGGAAAATCTTCTGGCCACCTAGTAAATCTGTTTACACAAGCAAAAACGTTTCTCTAGTCCTTTGATTGCGGGCCCACCAGCGGCCGAGCGGTAAAGACGCTGAACAGTGGTAGTTCGGCCGAGGTTCGAATCCCGCGAGCGGGCTGGCTGCATGGGCGTTTCCGTGGTTTACCCCATGTGTAACGTGTATACGAGCCGTTTCCCTTAGAAAGACCTCCACTAAGGCATCCCTCCCTTCAGGCAAACAGCCCTCGTGTGCTTTGCCATAATTAAATAATGTAATCCAAATCCTTTGATTGCGGAAATAGGTAGACGATGTCTATATGTATATAGATGAATAGGGTATTAAGGTGACGTAAATATACCAACAGCATTTTCAGTGTGCCGTTCGATTTTAGATGTTTGGCACATTAAATAATTTTTGCACCAATTCTTTATATTACTAATGCGCAATTTCTATAAAAATCGAGTTCGTATTAATTTTTTAATTGATCTTACTCTTGGATGAGCATGGTTGTATAACCTTTTAGAAAGCTGAAATCTGAACTTGTTAGGTACATATGGTCGAAACGTTTTTGAAGCTACACAGTAATAAATTGGAAGATTTGCTAAAAGAAAATTTAATTGCTTTAAAATAAGACTAGTATAGGATTTGGGAAGAGTTTGCAACTGGTTATCAATTTCCCTGAGTACGAGCCATTTCATCATAATCAATAGCTTTAGCTGGCTGAAATTCTCGAAAAGCCTCTGATACTGTATTATTACTTCCAAAAACGTAATTGGGATATAAATTCCAAATAAGGAATTTGACGAGGTGTTGCTTTATAATGTTTTTGTTGTAGGGCATAAAACAATGATTTGTGATCGGTGAATGCCAGGAAATCTTGACCTTTGATCATGTGCCAAAAAAATTTAATTGCTGAATAAATCGCCTAATTCTGTCTATTATAAGTCCTGTACTTACATTCAAAAGATGTTAATTTCCTGGAATAAAATACTAAGGGTTGAATCTTATGACAAACATGTTGTAATACGGCTGCAATAGCTGTTTCTGAAGCATCAGTGAGTAACGAAAGTTTCGCAATTTGAACAAGATGCGCCAACATAGTAGTATTGGCTAATAGTTGCTTGTAGGTTTTGAATGTATTTTTCATTTTATCATCCCATGTAATTTTTGACTTGTCGTTCACAACTTTCCCTTTTACCAAATTATGGAGACAAGCATTCGTCTCAGCTGAATTTCATATAAAAAACATTGGTAGAAATGAAGTTTATCGAGAAATCACTTTAGATTCTTTTTACAGTCTTGAGTAGTAGGTATTTGGTTAAAGCTTTAATTATTTCTGGTAATTTGGATATAACATCCGATGAAACTAGAAAACCTAAAAAATGGATTTCTTTTAACCCACCAAATTATAGAGACAAGCATGAGTCTCAGGTGAATTGCATATAAAACATTAGTAGAAATCAAGCTTATCAATAAATAGCCTCAGATCCTTTTTATATCTGAAGTAGAAGGTATTCGGTTAGAGCTGCAATCTTTTTTTGATAATTTGGATATAAACATCTGATGAAACTAGAAAACCTAGTAATCGGATTTCTTTTTGCCCCAAAACTCATTTAGCTAAATTAAGTCCATAACTCTTTAACCGTTCAAACACCTTCTCTAATCTGGCTTTGTGTACGTTTTTATTTTCTGATGCTATTAATGAGTCATTGAGGTAAGCATAACAACAATCTGAACCTCGTAAAACTTGATCAATAAATCTTTAAAATGTGTGAGTTACATTTCTTAACTCAAATGTCATGCTTATGTACTCATATAATCCAACGGGAGTGATTACTGTTGTCTTTTCTATATCAGAGCGTTGTATTTGAATTTGATAAGCTTTGACAAAATTTATTTTCCTGAAAACCTTTTTTCTTATTAAACATTAAGAAAAGTATGTATAGCAAAGGGTAACGATCAGTAATGGAATTCGGTTCCCTGAAATCACCACGAATTCTCCAATCACCGCTTTGCTTTTTAACAAAATGTATAGGACCAGCGTAAGGATTTTTTCAAAGCAAATGATTCTTTGTTCCATCAAAGCCTTGAATTTCTTTTTTTAAAGCTGCTAATTTTTCAGGTGATAATCGTCTAACCTTCGAATAGAGAGGAGAGCGTTTAGTTTCAATGCAGCGTTGTATGATACGAGTGACTGACTTGTTCTTATTATGGGATTAAATAATTCGTGAAATTTGTTTTAAATTTTACTCTGAAAGTTTTAATGCCACTGACATGGGGAAATACATTTTTTAAAATTTTTTAGCCAAACGGTTATGATATCAGCACAAGACGTGAGTTTGCGATTTAACATAATGATTTTCACCTTTTTCCAGAATTTCGCTTTCTGCTTTCACTACGTTACTGAAATTTTGTAAGAGGTGTGAACTGTACTATTGCTTTCAATGCCACGATTTCATCTTTTAGGTTTGAAGTGTTAGTGCATTATCATTTACAGCAGCTGTTTCAAGTGAATAACCAGATATCTCATTAACTTTGTCGACTATTTTCTCTAAACCATCTAATGTTTCACTGCATACCGAAAATATCTTTTGAATTGAAACTGGGAGTTTGAAGCCAAATGAATTTTAATACTTCCTGGCTTACATTCCCAGCTGATAATGTGCGTATTTTTTATAAGAATTACGATGGTCTTATCGTCTAACAACTGCCAAAAATCTTACTTCTTTTAAAAACTGGCGACCAGCGACGTTACTAACTGGTTTCCATCTTACCGTTATTCAGCATTACAACATAATGTTGTCTTCAAATATCGCATTAGAATAAAACATTTTGGAACGTGTGATAAGTTCTCCAATTTATGACTCGATTATTATTTAGAAATATATTAATTGATTTACAAATTTAAATAACAGAAAGGAAACATATTATGATGATGCATTTAAAAAATAAAAATTTAAAAAAAAAAAAAAAAAAAAAAAAGAAATACAAATTTTGTTGTTCTAGTTTACCGTCACTATGGAAACTTTCAATAAAGTTTAATCTTTGCCACAATATACTGGGTTTGAACTAAAATTCAATAAGAAACTGAAACACTGACAATATCTACAAAAAAATGGGTTAAAATAGAAGTGAGGTATATTTAATACAAGAAATTATACAATCACTTGCATTAAGTTGGATAATTGTCTTCACGATGTTAAACATTTTCAGGGACCCTGCCTCTTTTCATTAAATTTCTAAGCAAAAGTCTTATTCTGTGTCGTATTAACTCAAAACATAAAATTCTGCTTACAGCATATTTTGATATCATGGACATTGTCTTATCTCAGAAATAGTTCTTTTGTTTGTTCAGATTAGTTTAAAAATTATCAGTGCTATAAAGCGTTTCGAATTGTATTCAGAATTCATTCTCTACAACTCCTTAGAAGAATTCATACCCCAGGATGTGGCAATTAACCTTGGCTTTAATCTTAGTTTTACTCTGCTTATGGCTAATGTGAGTACTTTTTATGTTCAAAATATTAAATCAATAGGTGGGTTCGTTGCATTATTTGTTCAGGTTACTTTAGAATTTATCTGTGCTATAAAACATTTGTAACTAAATTATGCATTATTCTTTAATGTCGTCACGAATGAATTATTTCACTAATACCGTCAAGCCGGTAGAAATAGAAATAATTTGTTAAAAAGCCAAGAAGAGAATATTAAATGCCATTTAAAAGTTCGATTCAGAATTCATTGTCAACTGCTTGGAAGAATTCATACTCCAGGATGTGGCAATTAACCTTGGCTTTAATCTTAGTTTTACTCTACTTATGGCTAATGCAACTAAGTACGCTTTGTGCTCAAAATATTGTATCAAATAGGACTGTTCTTTACTTTATATTTTCATGAATTAATTTCCTTAAAAGTTTTGAAATATCACAACAGGTTGATCCCAAAAGTCGCGCACAAACCGGTGCAAAATGCAAACGAGTTTGTTCCCAGATAGAACGAATTTCTATGATACAGCTAACAGCCTAAACTGCAGCTAAAGTTTCAAAGCATTTCAAGTGACGTATTACTTGTACCATTATAGTGGTGTCATCTATTGAAACAAATTTCTATCCGTATTCATTTTAGAATTTTCACAGATTTAGAAACTTTCATCTACGCGACTTTTGTATTAATGTTTATAAAGCTTTGTTAATATTAATATACTGTGAAGTAATCGAAAATAAAATAAATTTAGAAACCAGCTTAGATGCGTAAATAGCAACACCAAATCTTATGTCTGCTTTAAGAGTATAGTTAGACTCGTATCAAGAAAAACGTGTAGTCTTCTTTCGCTTTATTATGAGAAGACATAAAATATTCCTGGTTATATCAGTATAATTTTGCAGGTAATTGATTTGAATTACCAATAAATCAGTGCGTAAAATAAATCAATAACATAAAATTTTGTGTTTTTAGAATTTTCATTTAAAAGAAATATTTTTTAATCATATGAGTATATGCTATAATGCTTACCAAAAAATTGAGATTGCTTATGTAAACAAAATTTTTAAACTAAAATTTAAAAAAAGAAATTATAGATGACACAGCAATCTTCGTATTGGCATTAAATTTTATTGATTTGATGTATTTGCTTATTTCTTTATTTTTTATTATTTACACAAGAATACGCACAAGTAAAAGATTTAGAGACTAATCTTTACAGTACAGTACCCCCTTGGTTTTTTTCTGAAAAAATCGCCAAGCGGTATTGGTTGTTGGTGAAATCTGAAAGCCTGCTGCGCTTTGTTGTAATAGTAACCCTTTCGTATGGATCCGGGTCTTGCTGTTCTTTTCAATTGCTGTGTTTTCTTGCAATGGACTTGGATTTTGAGCTTGCGATTATTTTCCTGTGGGTGCCATCCTTTGAATATGTCTGAGGTGATTAAGAGGATGAATGTTTATTAACAGCGGATGAGCTGAAATGACGAAAATTTAATTGAATTGCTTACCTGGAAGATGGAGAAGATGTTGTTGGGAAGCCTAAACGTATGCACGTGAAAAAAGTGATATGTTAAAAGGATTTGTTGTTTAATGTTTTTATGTTAGGAAATATGTATTTTTGGTTATTTATTTCTCTCTGTTTGTGTATTTTTGGTTATTTGTTCGTCTTTGTATGTTAAGACAGCGGCGAATTTTTTTCTGGTTACCATGATAGTTTGTTTTAGCTTCTTGATTTTGTTTAAGTGAAAATGATCGATGTGTACATAAACAAAGTTAAGGCAGTGCGCAATGCCTAGTTTGTGCAATGATTTTTTTAAGTGAAAATAGGTCGATGTGCACATGGACATCTAGTTTGTGTGACTTCTTATTTTTTTTGGGTAGCCGCCATCTTGAAATTGCCCCCCCCCGATCTTTCCTGGCGCCGATCTTGGTGTCAAAAAGAAAGGATTCGCCAAAAATTTACTGTACGGTACGTACAGTAAATTTTTACCGATTTAGAAATGGAATCCTGCGTTGCATATATATCCATAAAAATACATTTTTTACTAATTTTTTTAATAATTATCAAAATTTTTTTCTGAGCCTTTTATTCAACAATATGTATTGTAAAGCACTGTACTTCTGAATAGTCTTAAATACTCATCTCAAATACTTTGTTTTTATCAAATGGTAAACAGATTGTTTTCCAGTACGAATAATATCTGCTTACATAGTTTATGAATACATCAGTCAGCCAATTTATGATTAAATTAAGGAGGAAATGTCGTAACCGGTTTCTCCTTGTCACCGGCTTGACGCGATAAAACACACCCCGTTATTTTTCAAAACAATCATTGATATACTGCTAAGATTTATAGGTTTTCGACACGTTCGCTACTAAACATTTTGCAGTTACGTTCGCATGTATAAGCAAAAATATGCATATTTTACTTTTCTACAATATATCAGAAATCCTACTAAGTGAAAGCTAACATTTTTAAACATTTCATTATAAACGAAATTCAGTGCCATTAAATTTCCTTTATTCGGAATAGTTTTTCACTCGAATTAAATGTTTTCACATGTTTTTGTTAAACGTAATAGAAAGAAATTTTAAGGTAATTAGATTTTATTTAGCTAACGCTTATAATGTTAAAAACCGAAGTTTTTTATATTATTACTATAAAAGATCACACGTTACTTCGTTTCCGTTTTCAACCTCTTTCTGAAACATTTTTTTTTTCAAATATGAGGTGATTTTTAGCTTTTCTAGGGTACCGTTTAAATCAAAAATCGTATTAACACTGTAATTATAGCAATTTTTTATGCTCATTCAAAATGGTTTATTTCAGATTAGCGTTTACTTTGGTTTATAATTCAAATTAGAGCACTTTTTATTTCAGTAGATAAACGTGTAAAATATTGCTACTGATTTTTGATCTTTATGCAGTTTATTTTCTATTAGAGCTAAGAGAGGGAAACAGAAAAAAACGTTTTTAATCTTTGTCAATGTATTTTTATAAAAACAATTATTTTAATTCTTATCAAATTTTGTTCTGTCAGTCGTATTTAACAGTACACATTCTGAAAAATTCTAAAACTGTCGTACGCATATCATACATTGTGCATTTTGTCAAGCTTTAATAGATCGTTATACAGTACGAGTAATTCCCGCTTAAAAAGCCAATATCTGCCTTCTGTATTTTAAATTCCTGATCACGATTAAATCTAAGATTATTACATGATATAATTAATAACTATCCTTCTTATTGGTAATATTCAAGAGGAGTTATGAATGAATAAATTTTGTGCTTGTATAATTGTGTATTATTTGGGTGTTATAAATAATTTAATTAATATTTTAACTTTTAATTAGAAGATGATACATTTTTCTGAAAATGGTATGTATAAATATTCATATATATTTAAAACTTTTCATTTTTGACACGTGCATATATTTGTTTTCTGTGTATTCACTGTATTTTCCATTAAGGTATTTTATAATCATTTAGCATATATCAAGATTTTTATGGAAGGAATATATATAATTTGAATGAAAAGTATGCGTATTATTTTAATGTATTTAGCAATTAAACTATACTTTTATTTCGTCGTTCTTATATTCTTGTTGACCTGAACCACAGCAGCGGTCGAGCGGTCAAAGATTGCTACCAGGCTTCAAACCTGGAAAACGGACTGGCTGCGGGATTCATTTTCGAGACTTTTCCATGTGTGTAACGTGAACTCCAATTAGTTCTCCTTAAACAGTGGTCCACGAAAGCATATCTCTTCTAAGGCAGTTAGCTCTAATGGGCTTAGAAATGCTAAAGCTGAATTCTCTTTTAATTTTACGCATATTTATAAGAATTTTATTGTTTCCATCTTCATTATCTATCCTATGTTAACATTCTCAGATTTAATATATAATATTGTTCTTGTTTTGAATGCTTCTTTGTGCAAATTACTAAACAATAAAAATCCGCATTTTACTCGGATTAATAATAAACATGCTCCAGATCTTCCTTAAAGCTCTTGTAATGTAATTCTTACTGTGTATTTTCATGATTTTTGTATCTTGATTTATTAACATAATTGGCTTGCCAAATATAAATTAACTAAATCATTAGCATAAGTATTAACGGACACAACTTCATGAAAACTTGCATTTTTTGATAAATATACACATTAACAAATACAACAGTGCACCATGTTCAAAGAACCATTTTTACTTCATGGACGCAGCTTACTGTAATAGTTTTGTAATGCTATTATCGTCAGTTCTAAATGTTTTAAGCATTTAAAGTACTTTTAGTAAACATTGGCGAATATAATAATTCCTCCACAGGCTTTGTAGACGATATATTTTATTTTCGAAGCAACTCTGCCGCCCTGTAAGGTGCAGTATTAATAGCCCATTAATTTAGCAGCAGCAGATTTCATCAATGGTATTACGCGTTTTTGAGGTCTCACATTTAAATAAAGGCGAATAATCGTCATTTGAACATCTAATCGCGTATCAACAGTTGCGGAATATTATCTAGAATACGAAAATGTTTATGACGATAATGTACATCGTTCAGAAACAATTAATAACTGATTGAATTTAGTACATTTAAATGAATATTTGACACCTATACGAAGCCGGTCTGCAGTTTCACATTTATTTCAAGTGCTTTCTCAGTGAAATTCTTTTCGAAAATCATGCTCAAATGTGCAGTGATTAATAAATGTCTTGCTAAATAAAGATTTTTTTGCTGTACGGCTCTTAGGACTTTAATTATTTAAACTTAATTTAAGCAGGCCCCTGCAAAAAGTATACCGTCCCTGTAACATTCGCCCCTCGCCTCTTTTTGTGCTTGCAGAAGTAGGGTGTATGTTTAAGAATCGCCGCCTGTGCTTTTGATCTTGAGAGCATTCTAAGTTTCAGTTGAAAGGATACATGCATTTCCTAGGTATGTTATAACTGCTCCAGATTTTGCTAGTGTTCATATTGTTTGAATTACATACAATCAAAAGGAGATTGAAAAATGTAGAGATTTCTGTATTCAATTACCCCGAAGTATTCAGTAATTGAGTTCACTACTTGAATTAATTTATTCTAATTGAGACCAACAGACAATATACTAACTATCAATTATTTAATCTTAAGTGCTGTGTGATAAATATTTCTGTAATAGTAGCTACTGTAAAAACTCTGCTGACTCTTATGAATCTAATATTGAATTTATTAAGTGTGCATTAATTTATCGAGTTTATTTAATTTAATTTTATTATTATTACTAGTAATTATTATCATTCTCATTATTGTTAATATAAATTATATATTAAAATGAGTGCATAATATCTATTGGTACTGAATTTATCTTCATTAACTTATTAATTTGCTTAACCATTTTTTATTATAATTTTATTGCGTGTCTCTAAGTATAATTTGCTAATTATATCTTGCTATTTGTCATTTGAAATTTGTAACGTTATAGTGTGCTGCTAGGCGTACTTCTTTATTACTGTTCACATGCCTGCCATTAGTTCACATGCAAAATGCGATAAAAGGCTGCCAGCAGGGCTCCTGCCTAGGTCGATTTCTGTAGAACCTGGTACAGATACGTCTATCAACCTGTTTGTTAATGATGAAATATCAGAAATAACTTCGTATGCTGAAGAACTTCTTGCTTGTTTCAAATGGACACAGTCGTAACAGCTACGAGTTAAATGCCCAAAAAGTGTTAGACAAAACAGTCCGTTGGGCCAGTGAACATAAGCTCAAAATTTCAAGAGCAAAAACAAAAGGAATACTGACTAGCCCAAGGAAAAACTCACGAGCATACTCCGTGCATAAACCTCCATAGCAGAAATGCAATTCGTGAGACATTTGTGGTACTTGGATGTGATTGACTATAGATTCTCCTGGCTCTCTCACATCAAGGACCTGAAGGAAAAGTTGTACAAACTGTCTTCACACTGTGCGGAGAACAGCAGCTCCTGGTTCGGACGTCTCCTCGCTATGCTCAAGGAATGATATGCCTGAGAGCGCAGCACTTCATGGCGTCTCCATGTGGGACGTCAGTATCACGAATTATATGCAACAAGCACTGAACTCGGTGCAAAGACGTATCGTTTTGGACACCCTAAAAATTGTGAATAGGCTTCCTGTGGTGAATTCATCGACTTTATAAAAATATCCTCTCAGGTCTAAAGACTTAGAAATAACAACAACGTAGTCTGAATGGTAACTGAAATACCTTAAAATCAACGGACGAGGGAAAGCCTTTTTATAGAGGGGGGGGGTACTCCGACAGGATTTTCTTCTTTGAATAATGGTAGCGATAACTCCTAAAAGAATACTTTATGGTGTTAAAAAGTAGACAGCCTTGCTTCTAAATTTCCTTATAACTGTGGCAAATGTTAGCATTAACATATACAAATGCCAAATATATATTATATTTTGTCGTATCATTCTTAATAATTAATGATATAAGGATATTTAAAGAGTACTATTTTAAGAAATTATCTAACATTAATTTGTTTGTAGGTGGAGGAAGAAACAATTGTCCATTTTCAAATCTCTAAATATACCAGGTCCTGAACCAAATATCTTATTTGGCAATCTATGGGAGTTCAGAAAGGTACGTAATATTCTATTTTATCAAATCTGAGGAGAGTGCAAATGTGCATATCGAGACAAATTTTATACTATCCTGAAATTTAATGGAACACACAAGCCTAAACTTGTTTTTAAACTAATTTGATTGAACACGGATTCAAAATAATATTTTAATCTCGTTTTTTAATGATTTGTTAAATTTTTGATTTTTTTCCCCTTTTTTTCTTTTCTAAAACTGAAATGAAGAAATATTTATTTATGTAATGGTTGTAAACGTACTCAAGTTACATACTACGTAAAACGATAATTCTACACGTTTTGGACGAACTTAATGATGAAACACAAGCAGTCATTTATTCGTGGAAGAAATTCTCAGTTATGGATTGCATAAATCAAGTTGAACTAGCGTCTGAATGAAAAGCAGCAACTTTGGTTTAATCATTGGATTATGGTAACTTGGCGATTTTTTGGCGAAAATTTGTCGACCAACCCTGCTACAGCAACCTGCTAGTTTTTGTTTGGACGCCATTTTGTTTTCACGAAGTAAAGGCTTTTTTTTTTTTTTTTTTTTTTACTCAACATTTTTTTTTCCAACAATGTGCTAGCCGAATTACGCTTATGCTAGAACTTTTATGGAACAAAAGTGCTTAATCATGACAAAGATTAGGTGCGAAATTGGGAGAAAGTGCAGAATCGCAAACTGCTTGCCGCGTTTTTAAGAATTGTACATACACGGTATCCATGTACACGTCGATCTATTTTCACTTAAAAAAAACATTCCAGAATTGCACAAAAATAGCATTGCGCGCAGTCTTGACTTTATCCATGTACACTGCTAAAGTCCTAGCTAGTAACCTTTATCGCCTTACCAAAATGTCGCCAAACTACCTGTTACCATATTCCAAAGATTAGCCCAACTTTGATTGCGTATTGGAAAGAGGTTTGACACCAGTGTGTAAGAAACAAAAATTCCATCCTACTTAATAGAACCAAATTTCCCTGTGTTATTACAGTGACAAAAACCTAGTGGAGAAGAGATTTATCATTTGAAGTTATCCAAAGCCTTAAGCGAAGACGAAACATTTGAGTTTGTTCTTGCGATACCTAATCCCGCAAAACTTAGTGACAATGAAGAAAATGTTCCAGTTGTAAGTGCAGATTTAATAAAACAGGGTCTGAATTGCCCAAGGATCTGGGTAATCTTTTTGTCAATTATGACCCTAACGAGGAACATGCTATATGTATATATATACAGTCGCTCAAACAATTGAGGATACACCTTACTTTCATTTGATAAATCCAACTTTCAATGGAAATAACACATTAACTAGAAGAGAAAACGTGTTTTTATTTTCACACGTAACAAAAGGGTTAATTTACAATAAAAATAACGAAAATCAACCAAAAAAAAAAAGTGTAAAATTAAAAATTTCACCAGTATTTGAAATAAACATAGGCAGATCTTTACCTCAAAAAATTAAGGATACACCAATGAAATTTTTGTGATACATCACATACAAAGACAGTGTCAATATTTGGTTGCATGTCCTTTGGCTTTTATAATGTCCACCAAACATCTTGGTACAAATTCGACCAATTTTTTGGTGGTATCTGGAGATATTTTATCCCATTCTTTTTGTAACACTTGCTTTAAATGGGCTTTGTTCCTAATTTGGTGTTTTTGGACCGCTGTTTCGAAGGTGGCCTACAAATTTTCTATGACATTGATGTCAGGAGACTGTGATGGTGTTTTCAATTGCTGTTTACAGTGAAAAAGACACCACATTTTGACATTATGTGCCGTGTGTTTGGGGTCGTTGTCGTGCTGGAATATAAAATTTCCATCTAAACCCATTTTTTTTTGCACTTTCCTTAAGATTGTTGTGGAGTATATCTATATAAAGCTTATGATCCATTATGCCATCTATAAAAACTAAATTTCCTACTCCGTTTGAAGCCATACAACCCCAAACCATGACGGAGCCACCACTTTGTTTAACTGTAGGACGTAAATTGTTTTGATCCAAAGCGGTGTTTGGCTTTCTCCAAACGGTGCGACGACCATCACTTCCAAAAATGTTGAATTTACTTTCATCACTAGTATAACTTTCTTCTAAAAGTTATCTGTCTTCAATTGATGAGTTTTTGCAAACTCCAAACGCTTTTTCTGATTTTGTAAGCTTATAAATGGTTTCTTTCTAGCTACTCGACTGCTATATCCAGCATGTCTAATCACATATCTCACAGTTTCAGCATTTAACACTTCTGCACATTATTCGAGAAGTTTCTGCAGCTAGTTTGACTGAACCTTAGTTTAGGATCAATCTTGATATCTTTCAAAATTTTTCCTTTTGGCTACGTCACTCAGAATACTTTTCCTTTCCTCTTTTCCACTTTTATTTTCAATTAATATCCATCGCTTTTAAATCTTTCCAATGATTTTCTGTACACACGAGTGGCTTCTACCGACAATTTCAAGCTATTTCACGATAAGATTTTCCTTTCTTAAATAACCTTTATATAAATTTTCTGACATCAATACTGGTGTCTCTCCGAGGTGCCATTTTCCATTTAAAATTGCGACTTTAAATTCACATAACCAACTTCAAAAGACAAAAATAACAGTCGAAAACGTTTAAGATAAAATTGCCCAGACTTATATTATGATAGTAGCAAGCAGAAAAAAAATCTAGTGGTAGTTAAACAAAAGTTTCATTGGTGTATCCTCAATTTTTTTAGGTAAAAATCTGCTTATGTTTATTTGAAATGCCTCTGAAAATTTTTATTTTAGAATTTTGTCATTGATTTTTCTTTATTTTTACTGTTAATTAAACCTTTTGTTATGTCTAAGAATAAAAGTACGTTTGCACTTCTAGTTAATGTTTTATTCCGATTGAAAGTTGGATTTATCAAGTAAAAGTAAGGTGTATCCTCAATTTTTTGTGCCACTGTGTATATATTTTTTTGATTTTGCATCTGATTGATTTAAAAAAGTGCATTTAATTCATGATCTACCTGATTAAAATCATAGTATACTTTTATAGAATTACATTTTATATTTGTTCTTTATTCAAACATGCAGAAGATATGTAACGCTAGCATGTTAGTCTAAATGCATATTCATATGGTATCCTATAAAATGTTGCTCTTCCAACTAGACCACTTCTATTAATAATAAACTACTAATAAACCAAATTAAACAATAAAAAGATATCTTTTGAGAAACACATAAAGTTTTGTATTTTTTCTTGTGTTTATATTGATTTTTTTCAAAATTATTTCTGCTGACTTTTCAGATCCGGATCCAGCCCTTTTTTGCTTGCATACAGTGCCGTTTTTTGCACGTAATCTTCAAGAACGTCTTTTTTTCATTCTTCGGCATGCGCTGCGTAAAGCGCGAATACTGAGAAGCAAAAATTTATCAGCGCCACGACTGTAGTAATAAAATCAAATTTGTATACTCAGAGGAAAGTTATTTCTCATAATTTACAGGATTTGTACTTGTAAATACACCGCTGCCACTATAATTGTTCCGTGATTACCCATGAATTTAGCACTCGTGTGGCGGAATGAATATGACAATTGTAGCTATGGAAAAAACATCTGCATAGCAAAATTATCGTTTTGTTTCATTTTGATCAGAGCAACAGGAATAAAGTTACAGATTCTTCCCAAAAACTGGAAGGCAGATGATCAGTGCCTCATCGCACTTCACATTGCATTTAACTGGTTATGGCCCATTTACGAGTTGTCTGCAATATTTCGGTTTACGTGATAATCATTACCGTTCTTCTGAAGTATTCGAAGAACCCAGCCACTCTCCCTTTAATTCTCCAAGCATCCCCGACCACCATTTTTGCAAAACTGTGGATTCGGATTTAACAACAAGAGCGGACAATACATTCATAGATGCTGATGTTATAAATGCCTGCGACAATCTATACGCATAGTCAATTCATTTATTTTAGACTAAATAACAGTCCAGAAAACAGTATCACTATCAACATTAGCTTCGTGCTTTCTCCCATTCTCTCAAATTTGTTGCTGTAAATATTTATTATGACCATTTCGTAGCCCACCAGCGGTCGAGCGGTAAAGTCGCTGAACACTGGTAGTTTGGTCCGAGGTTCGAATCCCGCGAACGGGCTGGCTGCATGGGCGTTTTCGTGGTTTTCCACATGTGTAACGTATATACGAGCCAGTTTCCCTTCGAAAGTCCTCCACGAAGGCATCCCTCCTCTTAGGCAGATAGCCCTATGCCTCTTAGGCAGATAGCCTCGAGGCTTTGCCATAATCACACACACACGACCATTTCGTTAGCATTATTTCATTTATTGTGTTAGGTTCCATTACTATAACCTTATTTTGTACGATTTAATATGATTCTTTGTGCATCTTTTCTTATTTCATTCCTGTACATGTAGTTGTGCCATTGTATTTGCATCATCTCATTCACTGTGCATTGTTTGAGATTTTTACCGATGTAACTTTTTATTTTCTTTTTAAGTAATATTTTAATACTTTGTGATCGATTGTCTATGCACATTCATAAATATGCTCTATTCTGTGTTCATCAGAACAATAGTAAGGTCCAAATTTGATGCATATCTGTGTTTTTATATAACTATAGTATCTTCACTGTGTATTATCTGCCAGGTTTATAGTTACTTCTCTGGTTTATTAATTTTTCCCCCGTTACATAACTGTGTTGTGTTCTACATATGTTTCTGCTTTTAATTGTTAGCAATTTGTCACTGTTACACCAATATGTATTTTTGGAAAACCAGTAATAAATTTATTCTGCTTCACGGTTGGCCGATGATGAAGGACTCTTCGTAGATGCTCGAACAACAGAACGCTTTCATTCAGGTTACAAGAGGCGTTCGAAAAAAGAGAAACATATTTTATTGCTAACTACAAAAGAATTTAAATTGTAGAAGGAAATTAGTTATAAATACTGTAAGCAGTGCTAATTTCTGTTTCCTTTTGGCAGTCACTGTACTGTCTCTGGATTTATTTCAGTCTCCAGTTCAGGTTATTTCGTAATGGATGAAAGCTGCCGAGAAGTATTCTCAATACCTACAGTGTTTATACATTTATATTTCTGTACTCGCATATTAATTCATATTATATATTTTTATTTGTGCATATGAATTAGTCCTTTTCAAATTATAAATGACAGTAATGTATCACAATCTCGCTTAGTCATCTCGCTTGATTTTCGACATTTTGATTTTCGACATTTCGACATTTTGATTTTCGACATTTTTACTTGGCCAAGACCTTGTTACAGATACGTGCATCTTAAACATCGTGATAGACAGTTAAAACTGTAGAACAGTTCAGTTAATATGTTCACTGTCCAATGAATTGCCTGCGTCACTGCTGGCGAAAAATTGGGAAAATAGAAACTTAATCTGAGCTAACCCAGTTCTTCATATCCTATGACCCTTGCATGAGCTGTTATCATCATTTTGGCTTCCTGACAGTTCTCGTTATATATGTGCAGTGGATCGATATCCCCGACTACTGTTTTCTTATGGATGGAGATCACTAATTTTCAACCCAGGAGAGAGCATGTGCTTAGAGCAGCTATGGATAGGCCAATAACAAATAAAACTTCAGAAATGTAGCCGTTTCGATCCCCTCCAGACAACAAGCACTAGGCACTAATTCACATTGCATCATTTCCCATTCTATTGTAGCTGAACTCTAAAAGGGAACGCTAAGTCTAACGATTGAACCCTATGAAGACAGCTTGTCAAAGACATAACCTTGGAAATTCAGAATGATTTATCTGATCCACAGAAATGTGAATGTCTTTTTCTCTTTTTGGCTTTAATTATTTTCTTAATGAACAACGATCTTAAACTCGGAATATCTTTTTCCTCCTCGTGAGTTGAACCTTTTCTTTTATTTGCTATTCTGATTCTAAGCTTTTTAGTGTAAAATGTGTACCGCAGTACCTCCAACTGCCATTTGCCCTGATTAAGACAAGAAACTGAAATTTACAGCACGCAAATTACTTTAAACAAGTCGTTTCTAAGTGACTTAATTCATCAATAAAAAACAATAAACTTTTTCATTCGTGTTGGCTTTCTGCCATCAAATTTGGGGTAAAAGGTAGGTATTCACAGTATGTGTTCAAAAAATTAACCATTTGGTTTTGAAGACATGCTAAATAAATCAAATTTTAATTATCTCAGCCATTAATGGAACTTTTTCAAAACTTTTCATTGAATATGTAGAATTTTAAGAAGTAAATTAGCAATTCAGTTTATATATAATACCTTGCTGTATTATAGGAAGTATACTGTGACTCACATAGTTTTAGCATTTTTATATGCACTATAATTTTGTAATGATGTTTGTAATATTGAGCACACAAAACGTAAAGGTTTATTTCGAATAGGAAACAAACTGAAATTTCTTAGTTTATAGAAGTTATCTAACATTTTATTACTGGAATATTAATAATAGATTCCTTTTAAGTTTTGCTTAAAATATGTCGAAAAAAATGCCCTTACAGAATGGTTTACACAAAATTTTGAAAATTGATTCTTCGGAAGAATAGAACTGTGATTTTAAAGAGGATAATTCTGTGCATGGTGACTTGTTTCAGAATTCCAACTCTCGCTTTTACAGGATGTAAACTTAGATTAGATGACAGTTTCAGTATTTATGTGTATTTTTACTATCTCAACCCAAAAAGGGAAATAAATATAGCACATAAAGTTATTATTCACCAAATGTTTCATGTTTACATTGTATAACTGTATTTGAATTAAACTCAATTATTCAGTGTCGCACTATTTTCATGTTCTGCATCCATCTGTTTATGATGAAAATTATGAAATTAAAAGTGCAAGTTTTTGTCTTCCGCTACACTATTTTTGGCACTGTGGCCAAATATGAAAAGCAAGATACACTGCTAATTATGTTCCGGTTGAAGTCCTGGCAATGGAATAAAACACATTAATAACTCTACTCCAGATTGAGATCCTAGTCAGAATATTTCGTAACATGCAAATTACTTTGTGAAACCTACTGCATGTGTGTTAGCGTTATTCTCCTTATATTGCAAAAGTTCACCAGCGGCCGAGCGGTTAAAGCTGCTGAACACTGGTAGTTCGGTCCGAGGCTCGAATTCCAAGTACGAAGTTGGCTGCATGGGCGTTTTCGTGTTTTCCCCTATGTGTAATGTGTATACGAGCAGTTTCCCTTAGAAAGTCCGTATTAAGGCATCCCATCGCTTTAGCAGATAGCCCTCGAAGTTTTGCCGTATTCACTTAAACCAAACACCTTACACTGCAAATTCTCTTTTCTCTTAAAAATGTACTGCATGAGCATATTCTTCAATTAATCTTGTGTATTCATTTGTATAATAAAAATTTCCATTCATACGCTAATGTTTAAATCCGAGAATATATCATTTAAGCTTTTCATTTTCAACAATGAAAGATTTTAGGCTGTCTCTCACAAGATGAGATGCTCTTTAGTAATTTTGCGTTTTTCTAGTTACATTACTGCTGCATGTAACTCTTTATTGAAATGCTATATACCTAGTGAATTTTTATTATTTTTGTAACATATTATGCTGCAAAATATTTTAGAATCCTTATGGCTGTCCTAAAAAGTGGATTGAAAATTATGGAAAAGTAGTAGGGTGAGTTAGCTTTTATATGCGAATGTTTAAGTATAAATAAAATGTAATTATTATTCTCAATTTTAAAAGTGACAAAACTTGCTATCAATCAAACCTTAAGTTTTATAGAAATTAAGGATTCTTTTCTGTAAAATAAAAATTATCAAGATACGCGTTATAAAGGCTCTTAAGAAATCTAGAAGGAATTCCGAAGAGTCGTTACAAAGCATACAGTGGCTCAAACAATTGAGAATACACCCTTACTTTTATTTGATAAATCTATTTTTCAATATGCATAACATATTAACAAGAAGCGGAAACAGGCTTTTATTTTTACACGTAACAATTAATTTTATTTAAAGTAAAAGAAAGACAACCAACAAAAAATCCTAAGATGAAAAATTTCAGAATCATTTTAAATAAACATATACAGATTTTTGTCTAAAAAATTGATAATACACTAATAAAAATATGTTTAACTACCGCTATATTTTTTCTAGGGGCTTTTTATTTTGATCTAATGTTATGTAATCTTATCTTAAGCCTTTTCACTTTTGTGATGAAGTTTGTTATATGAACTTTAAGCCACACTTTTAAATAGAAAATGTCCCCTCGAAGAGAAACCAGTATTGACGTAAGGAAATTCGCACTAAAATTATTATAAAAAAGGAAAATCTTACCGTGAAATAGTTAAAATTGTTAGTAGAAGTCACATGTGCGTCCAGTAAATCCCTGGAAAATTTAAAAGAGATGGATTGATTGAAAATAAGAGTGAAAGAGGAAGGAAAGGTATTCTCAGTGATGTCACCAAAAGAAAATTTTGGAAGATATCAGCAGTGATCCTGAAGTAAGTCCAGCCCAACTTGCTGCAGAAAATTCTCAAATCATTGGCAGAAGTGTTGAAATTTTGCGAAATTAGACAAGCTGGATATAAAAGTAGGGTTACTAGAAAGAGACCATTAATAAGCTTGAGAAATCAGAAAAAGGTTTTGGAGTTTCCAAAAGCTCATCAATTGAAGACGAATACCTTTTGGAAGACATTATATTCACTGATGAAAGTAAATTCAACCTTTTCTGCAGTGACAGTCGTCGCACCGTATGCAGAAAGGCCAACATTGTTTTGGATTCAAAAAATTTACATCCTGTAGTTAAACATGGTGGTGGCTCCGTTATGGTTTGTGGTTGTAATGGCTTCAACTGGAGTAAGAAATTTAGTTTTATAGATGGAATTCTGAATTATATGGTTTATTTGGATGTACTTCGTTTTAATCTACAAGAAAGTGTTAAAAAGTTAGGTTTCGATGAAAATTTCATATTCCAGCACAACTACGACTCCAAACACACAGCTCATAACATCAAAATGTTGTGTCGTTTTCATTGTAAAAGTAGTTATACACACCACCACAGGCCCCAGACATCAGTGTCATAGAAAATCTATGGACTACACTCGAAAGAGCGGTCCAAAAACACGGAATTAAAACACAGCACATTTAAAACAATGTTGCAAGACGAATGAGATAAAATATCTTCTGATACGAGCAAAATGTTGGTCGATATAGTACCACAATGTTTGGAAGAGATGATAAAAGCCAAAAGATATCCAACAAAATATTCATTCTTTATATGTGAGATATCACAAAAATGTCATTGGTGTATTCTTAAGTGAGGCAAAAATCTGCATATGTTTATTTAAAATGCTTCTGATTTGTTTTCGTTTTAGAATATTTTGGTTAAGTGTTCATTATTTTTACTTTAAAATAAAACATTTGTAATGCATAAAAATAAAAACACGTTTCCTTTTCTTGGTAATGTGTTATTTATATTGAAAGTTAGATATATCAAGTAAAAGTAAGGTGTATTTTCAATTGTTGGAGCCACTGTAAATCGTTTTAAAAGTAGTATACTATTTGAAAAGAAAGAAAAATTTCGATTAAATTAATAATGATTTAATATTTTCATTTAGTTTTATTATTTATAAACATTCGTAAATATATTTTCCCTCTTGAGAATAAATTTACTTTTCTGCTTATATGCTTATTCTTGTATGCTTATCCATTCTGAAGGAAAGTAATTTTCATCAAATTGTTATTAAATATGTATACACACAGACACACACGCATATATATATGTATCACAAATTATAGTTATATGTAATTATATTTTAATAGGAATACGTTTAAATCTGAATAATCCGTAATGATATTTATACTAATGCAAAAGACCTCCCATTAGAGTGAAAATTAGGCCAATAATTTGAAATATGAAAGCGATTCTTCTTTACTCCTAAACCATAAAAGAATAAAAAATATGTATCAGAACAACTGCGCATAAACTAAAATCGAGATTCAAAGACTATCTTTAAAAAATACCAGCTTGGCATTGTTTGCAGCAATACATGGAGAAAAAATGTGAGTTGAATTTCTCACATGCAAATAACGTAAAGGTCAGAATATGAAGATCACTCCTTAAAGCATTCAATAAGTTCATTAGACACGAACTGCATCCTGATACGTTTTGGTTTATTCCAGGACAGGTTTCAATTTATAGAAATTTTAAATTTCATTTACTGTTTCGATGTATGGTTTTAATACAACGTATTACAGAAATACATATCTTCTCTAATGTGAGCCATTCTAAAAATATCATCGCTCTGGCAGTTAAGATTGTTTCTTTTTATCAGTTTTTTATCATTTTCAGCGCACTGTATACTTTGATATTCTTTCGAAGTTATTACAGGTATTTCGTAGTATGAAAATGAAATTATTGATTGCTAAAAAGTGCCTTGACGCTTTAAAATTATGTATTAAAAACAAAACAAATGTTTATTGCAATACGAGGCACATTTAAAGACCAAAATACGGCTGACATTTTAATCTCTTAATGCATGTGGCTTTATTTGTATATAAATTTTAATGTATTATAGTAATGAAAATAATGCTTTCCTTTTCACCTTTTTCTTTTTTTTTCTTTCATAAAAATAGAAACATTTGATAATACTTCTAAATGGATATCTAAATTAAATATTTTAGTATTTAATAATGTGATAAAATTTAGTAAAATAAAGTTATGATAATTTTTACCTGTTTCTTACTCGGATTTATAGCCATTTTGTGATTCCTATTATGTTTCATTGGTGATTTACAATCATATGTCAGGAACAGCGATCAGTAACTAGTGCTGGTTTTGTAATATTTTAGGAACATATTTTTGATGAATTAATTTCTATCTTATATCATCTTTTTCCTACATAGATATTTCTATGGTCTTCGACCAGTTCTTTTAGTGGCGGATCCTGAATTACTGAAAATCATACAACAAAAAGAATTTCATAAATTTCCCAACAGAGCTGTAAGTATGCTTTTCTTCTCCCTTCACCTTTATCAAAAATTGACACAGTTTTATCTTAGAAATGCAGAAGTAAATCAAAGAGCAATTTATTAGCATGTAATGTCATTTGTTATGTGAATAGAAGGATGTATGTATGCGCCTCTCAACGCAGCTTAAGAAATGTGCTATGTAGATTTTAATTCAAATATTTGATAATGTGTAAGTTAATAAAAAAATTGTTAAAAGTAAGAAAAGTTCTTTTGAACGTTTATACTTTTTAAATATATGTAATCTGGAATTAGTTACACATAATTTCCTATATGATTTCACTGAATAATATATACATTTTTGCCGATATGGCATAGAATCGGGTGCCATGAGCGCAATATTTAGTAAATCCTCTATGGACATAAGAAAAAATTAATTTGAATATAATATTTACAAGTGCACAGATTTCCCGTATTGTTACATAAAAAAAAGAGATCTGCCGAAGATGTTTAAATAGCTTCAACCAACACTTATAATCTGAGATATAAATATAACATTTCTATATTTCATGTGAAATACAATAAATAGTTACGCATGTAGAAACAGAGCTGTACTTCAGTGGAGGCAATTTAGATTCAATAATTTCCAGCCAGGCTGGCATCCCGAGACTCACATCGTCTGCTCTCGTCTTATGGATATGGTTACAGTATAATTGAAGGTACAAAATGATTTACTTGAAATTAATGAATTTTCAATGAATGATCAATGAATTTTGCCTACAAGTGCTCTTGTAGGCAAAATTCATTGAATCACCTTTATTTGTGTTAGATTTTGTCTCCAATTGGGCGATTTCTCATAAACGCTTTTAATCCCTTAGAAAGTAAAGCTATGATTGTTCCCAGGAAGTTTAATGAACAAAATATTGCTCCTTTGATACTCGATGTTTCTCCGTTAGAATTTGTGGAAAATGTTAAGTATCTTAGTGTCATTCTCGACCAAAAATTAACATGAAAAAAGCACATTGAATTCGTTTCTGCTAAATGTGAAAAAAATTATTAATGGCTTTAACCGAATCGCCAAAAATACTTTTGGAGTAAGCTACCAATGTTAAGAATAGTTCAATGTTAAGATACGGATGTATCAGCAGTGTATTGAACCTTTCATTTCGTACGGCTGTCGTGCATGGGGACATGTTCTTGCAAAGAACGTTAAAAAAAGAGATTTCAGAAAGATTCAACGGAGAATTCGTCTTCGTATTACTAGTGGTTATAGAACCTTAAGCTATGAGGCTATTTTTGTTCTTCAAGCAGTTCCGCCTATTGATTTCGAAATTGAATATACGAATAATATTTTGGAGCCATTGGTAACTGATACTTTGGAAGACTGCATAAATGGAATTATCCCCTTCCCTGATGTTCCTCATCCAGCTACTCTAGAGCCCATAAATTTCTGCGATTATAAAGAGACTACTGAAATGAGTTTTCATATGGTTTTCTTTACAGATTGCAGAAAGATGAACAATGAAGTTGGCTTTCATTTGTTCTTTTTGAAGGCCATTCCGAGATTTGTTATTTTAGACACCGTATACGGAATGAATGCACAGTTTTTGAAGACAGAACTTCTATGTATTTATCTTGCTGTAAGTGGATTGAATATTTCAACAGATTCGGCATAAGCCATACCAGTCAGTGCACATGTGGACAGACTGGCTCTCCGGAGCACTACATAACATCTTGTCCCCTTACAGAAGAGCTTTACGTCAACTTCCCGTCCACAAATCGACAAGCTTCTGTACGTTTTTAATAAAGCAAAGGCACCTGGTCAGAAAAATCGGGCTCCTAATGGGCAAACTGGCAGAACTAAATATGGACCTGTGCCAAACTTAGCCAAATCACGGACTGCCACAGTAGACAAATAGCGATTTAGTGACTGGCACCAGTATCTAATACCTTTGAATAATCTTGAATAATATTGAATGTGTGTACAACACTGATAGTCTTATTGCATGTATATACAAGTATTATTTAACGAAACTGTTTTATGCCAATTATCTGTATTATGTTAACTAACTGAACTGTGCAATGGAATTAGCATAGTCTGTATCTGCATATATTTATATCTTCTGTACCTTATATAATTTATTTCGTATCATCCTGTATCATGCAAACTATTCAACACCCTGTATCATGTATTCTGACATCCGCATATATTATCTCGTATTATCCTCTATCGTGTAACTTATTCATTCAACTTATCATGCGCCTTGTATCAAGTATCCTGGCATTAGCATAAATTTGTATTTCCAGCACCTAGTATCATATATCTCGCAAAATCT